TGAGGCTGCAGTCATGCCTCCACCGTTGAGTCTGCCGCGGAAACAGCAAACGTGTTAGCTCATCACTTGGTGAGGGTGTGTGCTGAGAGGCCACAAAGCATTTTGGAGCACTTTCAAAGCTGGTTAAAAAGGCTGGTAAACCGGTAATACTGGAATGCATAGTTCATGCAACGAGTCTGCCAGTTCGGGCTATTATATATATATATATATATATATATATATATATATATATATATATATATATATGTGTGTGTGTGTGTGTGTGTGTGTGTGTGTGTGTGTGTGTGTGTGTGTGTGTGTGTGTGTGTGTGTGTGTGTGTGTGTGTGTGATACAATGGAATTTCATAATGCGGCCTGCAAATGGATCCGTATAAAGTTTAAACGGCGGCCTGTGCTCAGTTCTTGGTCGGCTATCACCATGCATTCTTTTGCACGCCGGAATTTGAAGCCAGTCATGTTGTCTCCTCCTCCCCCGTTGTGCTTCTGAGTACCTTGGCACTATCCCAGTACTTCGATAGCGTACAAATCCATTTTGATCCGCTATTCACAGCTTGCTGAATGCTCACTTCTAATATCTACGATCTCCAATAGCGTTGAGCATCGCTGAATAAGTCATCTATCTACGGATATAATCCCCACGATATAAAAAAAAAATATAGAGCGCCCGTGTTTCGATCCGCTCACCCTGGGCGCGTTGGGTTCGAGTCGCTTTGCTCACCGTTTGCGCTTGACGGGCATGGTCTGCGGCTGGTGGCAACGGCCGCGCTAAAGGTCAGGGGACATAAAATGGCGGGACGGACCGTTCCGTGCCTTACGGTGCGCTAAAATGTCGCCACCAGCTTCTAGCGTAACGTGAAATTGCACCATCGGTGGTAGGGGTGTTCATGCCACAAGTACTGCTTAGTGCGAGCTTGGATCCCCAAATTCCAGCCATTTAAAAACGTTCGGGTTACATCTCTAAAAAGTAAGTGCTTTCATGGGAAGCACAAGTTAAAAATATGTACTCAGCTGATGGGAAACATTTGCGACTCCCTGAAGATTTTCCAGCGCACCGCGAAAATAAAACGACGCAATGCCGAGAGATGTTGAGAACCATTTCCTTAGACATGCAGTCCAAACTGGACTCACGGAGGCAGAATGTCAAATTTCATCCGTAAATCAGCGAACTTGGACCAAATTTCTGCGAGGTCACCCAGTATCTAGTTTTTACCCCTTGGCTCAGTGTTTCGCTGCGCCATATCCTTGTCAACGTCCCAGACAGTCCTCGAATATGTTTTGCATATTGTCGCCAGTTTTAAAGACATTGTAGTTTATGTCAATGCGATAGGCCAATAAAGCTTACATACATTGAACTAACGTCTTTGTTCGACGAATAGCCCGTCATGTCCCAAAACTGCGTTGGTTAGCTGCTTAAAATCATGTTTCTAAAGAAGCTTAGAACCAAAAGACATAAACCGTGTTTCGAATGTGTTTAATGAACAATGGTCCAGAAAACACGGACCCAATCACTCAGGGGCGATGTTCTTAAGTTGGTGCCTTCCAGTCTGATCAATCACTGCCAGAAAACTGGCCGAAAGTCATTCCACTGCAAGTTATAAGACCATAGAACCTAGAATGCTTAAAGATCAAACCATACCAGTGAACTCATGTCGGAACGCTTCTACAATATTCAACAAAGCTGTACCTACCTGAACAAATTATAAGGGTTCTGACTTTTTTACTTTGACCTCAAGCTTACCTCAGCTAGCGCAGTGGCCTGCTTGGAACTTCGAAATTTTCCCCGGGTAGGTACACACCGTCATTGGGGCCGTACATACTCAGCTGCTGAGGACGTGGGGCGTCGCATACCTCTTACCCAGGCAGAAAGGGCGGACAACGCGGAGAATCGATCCCCGGACTTGCTTCTATTCTCGCACTTCTGGTTTCTCATACGCGCAACTTTATCACTTTACTGCCGGTACCGTCCCCCGGACACAAAATGGATATCTAAAAAGGTGACGTAAATGTTGCGTCGCTCCGCTCCGCCGTTTTTGTTTTTATTTTTGCCTAAACCCAGAAACATTTAAGGCATGAACTCGTGTAACCCTTGCCGAGCCCGGTTCAGAATCTATTACGTGTCGGGATGTCACTCATGTAACCTAAATAGTTCATTTCTTCGCATTCATTGCTTCCCTCTTTTCAATCTCGTAGCCCGTTTATTCCTGGCCGCGCACAGGCTGCATATGCCTACCCCACGGTGTAACGAACGAAGCGTTACAACGGAGGCTCCGGGGTGTAGCGCCACCAGAGGGGCAAGGGGGCAACAGATATCTCCTCCGTTCGTTCTCCGCAATGTGAGGCACAACTCGTGGGAACCCATCCCTGAAGCCGACAAACTTGATCGCCTTCTTGTGACCCTGCCCGCCAGTTCAGCAACAGCTGAATGCGGTTTCAACGCGGAGCAGGGGCTGAAAACTTGCTTCGCTTAATGGTGACGCAGATGAGTATCAACAGAGCAGCAGTGCGTTACGTGTACTGCCTTTGCCTTGACCGAAGGGACCCAGCTCATGCCACATTCGCGCTTCTGCCAGTGAATACTCGTCACGTCAGAGGACATTTACCTGCGCTTAAGGCCGCATCACAAACGGTGTTGGTGCAGACCTGGAAGGAGTATGTGAATTCCGTGATACTCAAGCATCGTCTCGCGTGAATGCTTGTATCGCTATGGTAATAATCAGCGAAATTTGCTCTGCTATTAGTTTCTCAACAAACCAAAAACGATTGAAAACGGGCGTCTAGGTCACATCGTAACTTTGGGGTAGGTATACACGAAATGTCACCACTGCGAAGCTTCTGCCACTTTATATGATGCGCTTATAACTTATTACGCTACATGACCTGCTGGCCTAGATGATAACGTTCACTGCGCTGAAAAGAGGCTACGAAATTGCGATAAAGATTTCCTATCGGAATGGGGCAACGGAAGTCTTTCCACATTCGGAAGGAACCTTATGCCATTGCAAACTTTTCAAAAAGTTGTGGGTCTCAGTCCTTGCCCCATGTCCATTGCCCCATCTCCGGCCTCCGCGCCGCCATGCCTTACGGCGGTGCGGCGCAAGGCACATTATAAATTTAGATAGCGATGATCATTTGCGAAAACGACTGCTATTAAACACGCGATACCCAGGTTTTAATTCAAGTGTGGTTGTGATGGCTTTAAGCCCTCGCTTCTTCCATTCAAAATTGATGACACTGTCCCTGCCGCAAGCCAACTGGATCGCTTTTATAAAAGCCTATCTGTATCTGCATCATCCCTTCAAGTACTAGGAACTTTGGTGCTTGCGACTTGGGTACACTTTAAGATATTATTCTAAGAACACATCCAATGAGCAATAATAATGTTATGCCACTTTGTTTCAATATCTTACGGTGCATCATCTAAATCAGGAGTTTGATTTCTTACCTTTTGTGCGCGCTAACACCCGCGCAGCTGGAACAGGCATCTGCAACCATTATACGCCCAAAATGTACGACTTACGACAATTCCTGCCTTGAGAAAGCGGCTTCTCAGCATACTCAACCATATGCATCGCCAATTAGATTGCCGATGAAGATATAATTATAATATGTAAATTAAATTTGCCTTTGAACGTATAGCCGCACGCTGAATGTACTTTGGTTGCGTGGCGAAGCGTTGCCAGCATTGCTAATGGCTTAGTCGTGGAAACTGTGTTTTGATCTCACAGGTGGCTTGATCTACGGTAATTATGAAGTGCGAAGGCATCTCCTGCGCGGCCATCGCGCCGAAAGACGTCAATGCATATTAAACATCACATACGATGGTCTTATTTAAATTCAGCAAAGACTTCATGCAGTTTGTCTTCCGATGCGTCTCGTATTTTGTGTTTACACACAAGATGATGTTCGTTATGTGGTCGAATCAAACATGTTGCGGTGTGGGACTGGGTTTAAACGGAATCCGCAGCAGATTATGGGCTCGTTGCGTTCGCATCACACAGGGATCTACCGATCGTTGGGCACTTGAGTTTTGGGTTGTTGAGTGTATGGACGGGAAGGGGGCGTGCGATGATGACTCATGTGGGACTGCTGACGCGCGTGGGGCTGCGTCCATGAAATGTCGACGGGTTTCATTTTTTGCCCGTGTGATAGGGGGGGGGGGGGAGGGGAGTCTTGGATCTGTTTGCGTCTGCAAAGAGATCCAAGACTGGAGAAAGTACAAAGTGCCCTGCCATTATCCTGAGGGCAACATTCTGGATGGTCTTCAGGGTTCTTACTTTAAGGACCAAAAATGATTGAAAAACGCTGGCATAGCGTGAACAGGGCAAGAGTAATAAGAGACCTTTTTCTACGACCCATTAGCAACATTTCGACGCCTAAGCATTCGAATAAAACATTCGGCTAGTCAACATTCAAAACAGAGTATTTCGGCAAATTGGTATTTGAAAAACGAACATTTCAGCGAGTTGGCATTCAGTACATATGCATTTCGAGTCATCAAAAATACTCAATTTCGTATGTTGGCAAACGGCACGTCAGCAAATTCCGTTTCAACTTTCAGCATGTCGTGTCACTGATGCGGTGGCGAAAAGAAGCGTCGACGAAATGGCGATGAATGAAAATTAAGATCCGTTCGGAAAAATACGTTCTGCTGAGTGCATTTCGGTTATTTGTCTGGATATCGGCGACATTTGAGTCAAACAAATCGCGCTCGGGTCGGGATAGGAAGCCCCCAGATCTCCACAGCAGACTCCTCGCTAAGCTCATTCCTCCCAAAACGTTGGTGGTGGCGTGGCCTCTTGATATCAGTTTGATAGATTATCTTCCAATACATGCATCAACGTCTCCAACATTTTCGTTTGCAGCACACGGATTCAAGTCCGTAGATAGCTAGAGAAGGATAGAATGTCTTCATAACTAGAGAAATCCTTATCTGGTAACTATGCTGCACGATGTTTGCAAATCAACTGCAGAACGTGCGGGAAGTGAGTGCGCGCGGTGGTTCTGATTGCGTATTGTGAACTCCACGTGTTTGGGAACCGCTGTTAGCCAGTAGAGGAGTGTATATAGTTGCAGAGAGGATACCACTGTTGAGTTGTTTATTGAGGTTAAGGTATTCTTACCTGATCAGTGGTTTCAAGCTAGCTTTACCTACGTAACGGCATTGCACCAGCAAGAACGATGATGGGGTAGGTGTTGTTTGAGCATTTCCTTAGGCCGCCGACATGTTTTTCCTGTGCTTAATGCTGTTTGAAAGGCAAACGGAGAAGCTATGTCAGCTTGGACATCATGTAGGAATTATGCATATGCTGTTATTACATGAAAGTGCACATTACAGGTACATGGCTACCTACTTACATGTCTGCATCATGTGCTGCTACCTACCATTATTTGTGCCGCTGAGCATTTGCGGAGATGTGTCCTGTGCTGAATCGTGGTATTTTGATTGTTATAGATGTGCTGCACACATAACTGGAAAATTGCATTATGCACCAATTACTTAGAAATTGAAGTAAAAAGTTAACTGTTGTTTGTTTTTTGGAAGAGGGAAGAGCAAGCACTATTGATCCTGTGGTGTGTGTGTGTATGTGTGTGTTAAATGACAAGGAATTTTCAGCTCAGGCCTGAATATCAATATCAATACCACAGGCATCTCACTTCTATAAGTGGAAGCCTGTACATATTATGTCAAGTTAACTTATCACTTTTTTGGGAATGGAAGTAATCCTTACAGCATTTCATTGAAAACTTGATGAAAACTACAACATTCTCTTGTTTTATAGAAAAATACTTCTCTTAAAGGCAAGGAATTGAGCCAGGTTTTCCTGTGTATGACAATATTTGTTTTAATAACAATAGGTTTAAATAAAGATGCACCAAAACATGAATGCAAGTGGTGTCATTGAGGGAAAGAGATGCATCCCACAAGAATCTGAAAATGAAATGGCATAACACTGTTAGCCAATATGCCATGGTGTGCCGGCCGGCAATATGCCGGCTGGGTGTCTGGTTGTTCCAGACAGTGTAAATTGAATGAGCAGGACTACTACAATGTGCGAGTGGTCTAAGTCTCATATTAAGTGGTGGTGAACAACCTGAGGTTGCTGTTAAGAACAGTGCTAGGAACAATTCAAAGCAGCCAGGGTTAACAATAGTCTTCCCTCTAAGTAAATTCAGTAAGAGTTTTAGAAGACCTGTGTGAGTTGACAGCACAAGAAGGGAGTTAACATTTTGTCTTATTTATATTGAATGTGACACGTGTTTAAGTGATAGACATTCTCAGAAATACTACATATGTTGTCAAGTGCATTTCTGCCATCCAAAGGTATAAAGGCTTAGGTGTCATACTAGCTAATGGCTCCTAGGCATTTTTGCTGTGGGATGGCAGATTTGGGAGGAGCATTACACATACAGCTAAGACATTAGTAATAGCCTTATTCCTCATAAAACAGGATAAAGGGTGACATGACTTGATGCTGTGTTAACATGTCTTGTTCTTATCAAGGCACATTGCAAAAATATCAAAAATATAAGAGGGAATTATTTACATGCAGCAGCATTGGTACATCATTAGCTCATTACAGTTTGTAAAACTTCCAGATACAACTCTGTTTTCCATACACTTGATGTAGTAACACATTTGTCTTGCACTAATTGTTTTCAGTTTTCAATCTTATGACCTCAGTGTGATGTGCCAGCCATTCAGCATTATTACCTGGCAGACAGGCCCTCAGAGACTTTATGCAGTAAAAACTGTGGGAACTGGAATGCTATCTCCAAGACGAGGGTGGGCAGTACAGCCAAGGGGAATTTTTGAAGCTGTCCTCCCCTTTCCTCCCCAAAGGTGATATGGTCATAATGATTTTTGGCAATCATTGATGCCCTTGGGGCTTCTCCAATAGGCCTGAGACATTAAGATGGGGTCTGGTCAGAGAAGGTTTCTCTGAATTAAAAAAAGTCCACTGTAGTGAATAACAGGAATCCCTTGATTATTAAGGTCCCCTGTGGCCTGATCTGACCCCTCCTGAGCTAAGTACTGTCTATGCCTCAGAAGAGAGTAAAGGGGTGTGCTGTGAGGTTGTGATGTGGATGGTTTGGCTATGCATCACACATGCTAGATGCTGCATCTATCCACGATGCAGGATCTTCACAGCTGACATATACTGGCTGCTTGTTGTCTAGTACTTGTTCCATGTATACCAGCTCTTATGCTTGTATTGGCTGACTGGGAAGACTGGAGCCTGCTTTCGCTACTGTCTGTTTATACACTGGCATGCACAATTGTTTCCTGGTTGGTTGTTCCGGAACTGTCACGTATTCAACTGCCTTCTGTCTGTTAAGTCTGATCTTCCTGCATCCATCGTTTGCAGCGCCCTATGATTCTATGGGAACTTCCTTTGCGGCTAGCCTTGGTTGTCCTTATGTCTGCCTCTGACCTCTCTTTCCCTCTCTTTTCTTTCAGAATTCTTCCCATGTCTGGATCTAAGGTACGTTACCAGTCTGCTTGCATGGGGGCTCTGTATCTGCTGCTTCTCAGTAGTGCCCAGCTGGATATTTCCATGCCTTCCCATGTGCTTGGACCACACATTGGCACTTGACGCAGACAAGGTAATCAGAAGCGCGCCGGAGGCTGCTTCCAGCACAATTTGCGACATGTACATACGAAAATTCCGAGGCACGGATTTTCTGCTCGTCAATCATGCTGACTTGCGATCGGAAATTACAGCTGTGCGACCTAGCGCATTTACGTTGCAATGATGGGAACACATTCTGAACACGATAATCACGCATAACGCTGGTTAAAAAGGTTCGCAACGACGTGTATCTAGGTGTGACATGTTTTAACCATTCCTGTCTGTGGTGTTTGTATGTCCAGTTGATTGTGTTGGAGGCAACAAACCTTTATTTTATGTTTTTTTACGCGGTCGATTACACTAAGTTTGCTTGAAGAAAACATTACATATGATAGGTTAAGTTCAGATCGTCGTTTATTTATTTACTTCATCTCCAAGGCACAAATGGCAAAGTGAATATGTAGCCATTAGTTCTCAGGATCAGGAACGTTTAATTCGTAGCGCTGGGTTGGACTGTTCCGACATTTCTTGCCTTTCGCTCCTTCGTCGAAATACCGTCGATAATATACTTCAGATATTATTTAGGATCGGACAAACGCGCATCATGAGCATCATCACCTAACGCATCACCTCATGAGCGATGGTCACTTCCTGGCATTCCTTTGGTCTTAAGCTGTCCCCGGCGTTTAAACTGGTAACGGATGCTTATCAAGTTTTTGGACTATGCTTGATTCAGTCTGTGTGGAAAGGCTTCAAAAAACGTTTCAATCTTTTTGCCGTCATCAGTCGACGTGGAAGGCTGCCGCGCTAACGATGGAAGCAGTTTGAGCGCACAATATTACAATAATTGTGTGCGAAATGTACGTACATGGGACGACCAACGTCGAGGAGGGGCCGGTCGCACAGACAGGCGTGCTATTGCGGTGTGGCCACCGCCCGCCTGCTGCCTGTTGGATGTGAGAGCAAACCACACACAGCACGCTCCCATACCGCGTCGGATGCTGACAACAGTTTAGACCAATAAGGCACCTTGTTCGGCGTTAGATGGGTAACTTGACTTGATGACATCGGTTGTGTTGATGTGTGTAATTATTTGTATCGTTGTATTGTGGGAGCGGCTAAACTCTTGTTTTATGTGTTTAAGGATGTAATTATACTGTAATAGATTGTGTGAGGCCTAATCTTGGATGTGTTTTGATAGAAAATTATGTCGAAGATGTCGAGCGATTTTCGTTGTCTGGTGGGGCCTGTGCGTGAAGGGGCCACTCGAGTTTCGCAGGCTGACGTATTGGGAAAGGAAAAGTGATTTACCAATTTCAGAACAAGTGGTTGAAATATTGACGCGCAAGTATGTCAGTTCAATGCTTTTATCGGTTGTATAGTCATTTAGAACGGAGCAGGTGAAAATTTGACTCTTCCGCGAATTTGGCAAACCTTTGATTGGAATGCGGCAGTACCAGGTTGTACGCTCACCTGAAGTGAGAACGTTAAATAAAACTGCGGGGTTTCGTACAGCAGAGGCTAGAGAACAACAAACTGCAAGTTAGGGAACGCACGACCCTTGTTTTGATGACGCATACCAGTCATATCAGGGTGTATTTCAGTAGGTGATATTTTAGGTTTGAATGTAAGCCACGCGGCCCACCAAAAGAAAACATGGCATGAAAGAGCATGTTAGTGATGCATCGCTGTGATGTTCAGGACTGGTGCGGTCGCCCAGATTGTCAGGCAGCGGGTCGGCAGTGGGCGGTCGGAAATATTCACGTGTGGTAATAACCAAGTAATGACATCACAAGAAAATTGTGAGACTGACAGACCAACAAATCGGAAGACTTGATGGAGGCTATGAACACGGGCTCTGAACACGATTTTCACAGCCAGCAGAAGGGATGCATTTCATACTGATTTATGCTTTATGTTTCCAAAGTGTAACCACCAAGGACCGCGAATATTTGTGCCGGATATGAAACAAAATGTATAGGGTCGGGTTTTGTCAATGGTTTCGCGATGAGCGCCATATGACCAACGTAGTCGGTGCGCCCCAAAGCCCAAATCATCATCAATGCTTTCACGCTAACCAGGCCTAACTTACACAGAGAGGACATGCATTACCTAGGCGGACGCGGTGCCTTGCTGGGCGCTAATGCCGTGGGATGAACGACTGTATGGTCGTCTGGTGACCAGCCGTTCACTACCGTGGTGTTCATCCCGACTCAGCGACATATTGGAAACTGGTGGGGAGCTGTCACGTCTGCTTGATGGCGCATTGGACATTCTCGGCGCTTCGTTGTCCAGCGGCTGCGGCATTAAAACCCACTAAATCTCGCGTAACGCCTGGGTTGTGGGATCGGATTCCAGGATGCGCAGTTCGAACTCCGTTCTGAATCGCAACCGTTACGTGAAAAAAACGTCGAAGACAAGCGTTGGGCGACTTCTGGAAGTGCCACCCTTCTGTAAGCGCCCCTATCAGTCTCGTTACGCTCGAGCTCCGCCTGGACTGAAGAAAATGCCGGTCATGACATGGAGCCACAACTGTGCACGGCTCGTGGCCCGTGCCTGGACGAGTTTGCCGTGCCCAAAGCGCTGCAACCTACAGGAAGATGGTGCAGTAAACTCGATTTACTGTGTCATATTCTCCTCAAGTTAGAGTGTTGTCCATCCATTTTGAACAAGACGGTAGGCCGACCTCGTAGCACCGCGACTTGGACGTCAATGTGTTGGGTTACCAGCCCGGCCGGCCCGGCCCGGACCGGCCCGACATTCACGATTTTGACTGGCAGCAACAAAAAATACGACGCTGTAAAAGCTGCGGCATGTGATTTTCAGACTCGTTGCATGGCGACATTGATCAAAAGCAGTTCTCTTGCAGCATTGGGTACGAGAAAAGTTTTACCGTCACTCTTCTATTATGGGAACTGAATTTGTTTTCCATCGCGACAAAGCTACACAACACGGATGGAAACCGACCCGGGTCCTGGCCGCCCCGTGTCGCGGGAACAGGAGACCAACGACGTTAGATGAAGGAGAGAGACACCGGATGTTGTCAGGAGCGGTAATCGGCATGTTCTGCTGGTCTCACGCACGCGAGCGCCATCTATGGATCCGCTGGTTTTTGTATCGTTTTAAAGTACTGATGGCGGATCCCGGCAACTAGAGCAGATGACGCGCGAAGCTGCGTGAAGCGGACTGCATAGAGGACGCGAATGTGCCGTCTGTAGATCACTGAAATCACATTGACGGCTGAACAAGGCGTGACGTTAGTCCTGTTTTGCGCTGGTAATCAGCCGGAATCGCACCACGCCACCGTTTCCGAAATCGGCGCCAAATGGGATGCGCGTCGGCAACCGGGACAATGAAAATCGCACAGTCTGCCAGTCGATCAGCTTACAGCCCACTTGCAAGGCATGTGTTTTTGTAGGCATGCGCGCTTATTTAGCTTTGCAAGCCTCTCTTCCTTATAAAAACACGTCGGGAACAAGGACGGTGCCGTGCATTGACAAGACCAGGCCACGTGTGTTGCCAGAGACATGCGGCTCCATTGGCCCGGGCTCTGATATATTCTTCGTGATCGTGCACTTCTGTTACTACGTCGCTCGTCCCACATCTCACAGAGCGTCTGACCGGTCCCGCACGCGACGCTTCAAACGCACCGGAAGCTATAAGCAAGGTAAGATGTAAATTGGTCAAATCACGCTTTCAACGTATGCAAACTTGTGGTAAAGAGGACCGAATTTTTAAGGTTCTCATTTCGTGAATTGTATTTTTAGGTCTGTAAACTCCTTGGCTGCTAAAACAGCTTAGAACATTCATGCTCACGAGTTGCGTGGCCGTCGTCGTTTCGTGCCTGCATATTTTTATAGCATTTACTGATTTGTTTGGAAATATTGAGCTAGGGCACGTAAATGCAAAAAAGCAAATGTGCAGAATATTTCAATCAGCTTGTTTTTTAATTGAGCGGGAGCTCTCGGAAAATTATGGTGTAAGAGTCTATTATTATTGCTGATTATGGCCTTCTAAACGCGTGTCTGAATCTGGTTTTTCACGTCGTCGTCAGACCTAGGCTGAAGACGGGATAGTGACGGTTAGGGGTTTCGGGCGCATCGACTACTGGTCATGCGGCGCCCAGAGGGGATAGAGATTTTCTCGGAATCTCCTGTTTGAGAAAAATAAGCTGGTCAAAATGCGATTTTTTACATTTACTTGTACTGATATGTGCCGTGTGCTGTGGCAAGATAGCGACCAACGTGCATAACTACACTTGGTTTGACTGTGTGCCGATCCAACGGACTTAGGTCCAGACCATCATCGCTGCTGATGGTAAAATTGAAATGCTGTTTATAAAAATAAAAATACTCAAAATAAGGGTAACAGCTTTGGTGGTTTTGGTAAGGTAAGTAAGGTGGTTTGGTAAGTGTAATGGTGGCTGGCCTTCCCAGGGGTATGCCCCGCTCGCTGCTTCTCTCGCTGGTCGTGGTTGAAACTCAGGTGCTCTACTTCAAGCCGGGGCTCAAGTTTCTCAAGCGCCTTAGTTTCCAGCGATTCCTGTGCATGTATTCGGCGGTCGTTTCCCGCGGACTGGTGGTTGGGCTATTCCGGTCACGAGTAAGGCTCAGTTTCGTTAACGTGTGCTGGTTAGGTAGGTGGCGGAGCATGAGTGTTTCGTTAGAGGGTAGGCAAGGTTATAGCGCTATGGTGACGTGGTCGTTAAAGTGTGGGTTTTTCAGTTCCGGTTTTCCGCACGTAGGACGACGCATTCCTTTCCTGCGCGGTTGTGTCTTAGTGATCAATGTTGGCACAAAGCCATTGTGTCGTGGAGGACGTCAAGAGCAATAAATCAGAGTCTGTTTTCATTTTGAGGCAAATATTTACGTGCGGCTGTACCGGCACAGGGTTGACTGTGTTCCTTTTGCGTA